GATGAATACCATTACTGTATCGATTTGAAAAATTAAAAATACTCACAATTGATTTTCATTCAATCAGTTGGAGGAAAAGTGCGACACCATGGCGCATTATGGAAGTCAAACACACGAGAAATTATCGATGGATTACCCTTTTCGACTACGTCATATCAAAGTTTATCAGTATAATATGATATTGGAAAATGTTGAACAATTGTTTCAAGTCTTAATTTCACCAACTTTATTAACTCCGAGCTTTTTTAATTGTCAACGTTCTAAGACGAGATATCCCCTATCAGAGATGTCCATGGCGGCGCGGCAACGTATTCTTCTTTACAGTCGCGGCGCGGCAGCGACAACTTATTTATTTTTGCCATCGCGGCGCGGCGAGGCAGCGGTTGAATTTTTGAAAAGATTTATCTAATGTTTGTCAAAAAAATCTATAATAAAGCTATTCAAATCCTAGCATCATGATGAACGCTGGAGTTATAGTACTATTTATAAACTAGTTTTTTCATGGCTGCTGATATTTTCTTTTCTAGACGTTATATAGCATTCTAACAACAGACATACATTCTATATATTTATATGTTCTTCTTTCGTTTGTATCTTTTCTTTGATTTTCTCGCTGAGTCATCTGTATTCGTCTTATATATGTGCCGGGGTCGTTCTTTCTTTCTTTCTCTCTCTTCTCGTCCATGAGGATCATTGAGATTCTCACATTCGTCCTTACTTATATATTACGCAATCGAACACATAGATTTCTTGTTAATCAAAATGCACTAGAATCATACGTGTGTCTTTTTCTTTTCTCCTTGTCTCCTCTATCTTCAGTTGCTTTGTATGAGCGTTGGTGTGTGTTATACTTATATTAAATAATAGGAGACAAAGATTATCACCAAATCAGGTTGATAATATGCTGATGATTAGAAGTGCTCGACAAGTACTAGCAAACGTAAAACAAGATGGTTCAACAAGCACGTAATCGTTCTTTTTTGTACAATATTTCTACTAGTAATTTATGTGAAAAAAATATGAAATATAACAAACACTTATATATAGGTAAAAGAAATAAATAAAAAGAATAGTCGATGATCAAACAAAAAGAAGAATACATATAAGTCAGAAAAGAATATTCTAAGGATAGGCATATTGATAGAAAAGAAGAATATGACCTTGAGAAGGTCATAACACTGTCCCCTACCAAGGAGGCAACCTCCGTTTCTCGATGGTACACAATGGCATGATTTTATGAAAAATTATTTTCCATCAACAATGAAACGAGACATTTATGTATAGTATAGCTAGTAACATGTGAGTGATCACTTGTAAAGACTATTTAAATATATGCATAAGTGTACGGCCTTCATACGAATGTATCATCATAACTCGTAGTTACCTTTTGCACAATTTAGTGCAATGGGAAAATGCGTAGTTGGAAAAGTACAGGGTATGAAAGGTCGGAAGATCGAATCCAGGAGAAGAACACCTAAAAATTGTTCTAAAAAATGAAACGATTTTATATCGAGTACGAAGATGTCGATAATACAATGTCCATGACAAATCTCGTACAAGTTAAAAAAGAGTTTATGAAATACAGCGGACAAAATTTACCGTGCGAAGTTTCCTGTTCATACGACAAAATTACAAAATTTTCTTTTAATTTCACTTTTATTTAAACATATGTGAGTTCAATTCTAATTGGACAAAAAATCACGGACTGGTTTTATCTGAGTGTTATTAAGGTTGAATCATTTATCATTTGTAAGTGTTTCGTTGATTTCACTTATGAAAAGATCTTGAAGCGATTTTCTCCTCAATATTAGCTTTGTGCATCGATTGATCAATGCCAGTGTGAACACCAAAATACTGATGCTAGCAACGTATATTCCATTTTAAATTTCTTCGTTTTCTTTGAAGAAGCACCAATTATCTCTGCTTTACAAAACTAATGGAGAGCGATCTAAATCAAAAGCACTTGCAGTGGATTCTGATTGATGAATGCATATATGTAGGATAGGTATCAATTTCTACTGTATATGCATGCATTGAAGTGTGTAAGCAGGTCAAAATGTGGATGTTCTAGCGCTAAAAATGTTAAAGGGGTGCTATCCACCGATCCAGTATCTCTGTCATATATAAAGTAACGGAAGTATAGCTTCGAAAACCATTAACAAAAAAATATTCGTGTTCGATGTTATTAAATAAGCGTTATAATATTATAAAGATGTTGTTGTAAACATGTGTTTCATCAATTGATCATTTGAAGGATGAAAAAGCTCGAAAAATCCTTTAAGTTCAAAAAATCTTTTATATCTCGGCTTTAGATTGTTTTGAAAGAATTTTTTCGGATTCAGCGCTAAAAGCTGAATAGAGAAATAGCGTTTCATCAATTTCGAAGTTAAAAGCCTGTCGAGCATGGACGGTGCGGGCAGGACCTATCTAGGTTATTTTGTGTTAATGGCTGAAGCCGTCATTTGCACATCAGTAGATCTGTTGAAAGCTCAGCTTTAAGTACGCTTCGCTTTTCTTAAAATTTTGTTTTGTTGTTAAAAAGTTCATTTTTTCTAAATCAGAGCTGAAAAGTTCTAGTTCTGCTCGTAATTCTCAATTTTCTCTATCAGAACTCAACTCTCTAGTCGGTCGATCTTACGGTAATTCTACAGAAAATCTCATATATAAGGCAGTCGAAAGAAATGCATAACCTATTGATAAGATTCTCATACGAAGGAGTATAGGAAATAATTATATAATCTATCTTACCGAAGTCTTATCGGATTCTTATAAGATTCTTATACTCCTTCGTATAAGAATCTTATCAATAGATTATGCATTTCATTCGACTGCCTTACATAGGATCTTTATTATAAGATTTTCTATAGAATTACCATAAGATCGGCCGACTATATTGACGAATACTTGACAAGATAACATTAGAATTAAATGATAATCTTTTTGTTGTAAACGACGTTGACCATTTTTAGAACAACGATTAGATTGATGAGAATTCGTCTAACATTCATCAATGTTAAAGAACTAAAAATGAACCATTAACGTCGGTAAAATCATACTTGATACAATAATCGAATGTAAACTAACAAATAAAGCGTAGCCAACTGATATAAGAAAACGTCCTACATCCCGTATTACTTTACTATAGGCAATCATATGAATAGATATGAGAAACCATAAACAAGCTAAAAAAATTGGTATTACACGTTTAGCATTTTTCAATGAACTCCAACATCGTTGTTGAACGCGGGATGATGATAAGGCATAACGATCAAGGCATGCAACGAGGATATAACTTTCAGATAAATAACTTAATGTAAATAAAATATAATTCCTAGAAATACATAATATTTCTATAGAATTCTCGGGACCTATATTATAACCATAAATAAATATATCTAACAACAGACCAAAATTAATCAGAATAAAGTTTGTGCATGATGATGCTAAAAAGTACATTGAACTTGGGTTAGTTCTTAATGTTTTTTGTAAGAATATAATTGTATTTAAAGTACAACCCAAGTTACCAATTAGATACAAAAATGTCAATAAATAACGAGTGATTTGTTGACTAATAAATGGTAAGTATATATCACCGGACTCCGAAATTTTCAGACGCGATTAGAGTCCGGGGCCAGGCGATATTTGGAATCAGCGTGGTCGATTGCCTATGGGTCCATGATTTTTAGTCCGGGGTACTTCCGAAAATTAAAGTCGGGGCCTTTAAAAAAAATTCGAAAAAAATTTACGCGCTGACGAGGATTCGAACCTCGATTCTGTCTCATCATAAACAGACGTTTTATCTATTGTGCCATCAACGCTCTTCAGTAAGTAGATACATTTTATACTGTATGTGTTGCCGTTTCATATCAATTTTCTTTCTTCCGCATAGCATCAATATTTTCATATCGTCTCTTTAGTTTACTTAAACTACAAAAACGACTCGAAGTGATCTGCACACTACATTAAGAAAATAACAAAATGACTTTTATATAAATCACATTCTGTTTTTGCACATTTCGTGTAACATAAAAGGAGAATAGCAAAACGTCCTCAATAACGCACGTGGGTGTCATATAAATTTTATAACTTCATTTTATATTCAGATGTTGTATTAGAGCTCTACCATTTAGTGCTTTTTCTTTATCTCGCATACGACAACATTCGACCGCATTTGTTAAAGCAGAATGAAAAAGGAAAAAGATTTTTTTAACATGAGAATGAGTCATCACTTTAAAACGATCATCTAAACGAGTTATTCTACTGATGACACATAGATCATGCAGAAAGAAAGAAAGATGCAGACATAAAGATACAACATGATACAGACATAAAGATACAACATCATGCAGACATCAAAAAGATGTAGATAGAGCGCTCGTCTTATATGACGTCATTCCTTTATGCAGAACAATGACATCAATCACTTCGTCCATCATATTTAATCTATAA